GGGACTGGGGGTGGGTGGGGGGAGTCGAGCCCCAGCGCTGCTGGCCTGGGGGTTGAGGGGAGACCCCCTCTCCAGAGGCTGGGCAGCGAGTGGCAGGGCTCGGCCAGGCTCAAGGCAACCTGGCCCCCATTCCGGGCGCCAGGCAGGAGCAGGGCACCAGGGAGCGGCGGCGGTCGTGCTTTCTAGCTGCTGCCAGAGCTCAGCCCCCGCTGCCTCAGCCTGGGCCCACAGGCGGCAGCTGAGCTGCCTCCAGTGGGATTTCTTTCCCCTTTCTTGCCTCTGGGTTGCCGGCAGAGGAGGAGAAGGGCAAGGCCGAAGCCGTTGGTGAGGAGGCCCCTTCGTCTACTCCATGGGTTGGTGGCTGCGCCCCCCCCACACACACACCCGCTTGCCATCCTTTTGCCCCACAGTTCCCTTCAGACCCAGGAAAGGCTGCTAGTGGTGAAGGGTAGAGAGAGCAGGAGTCGAGAGAAACACCCTGAGGCCCCCCCCGCCCTGCCCTCTGGGGCCACCATATTGGGGGGGGGAGAGGAATAGAGTGGCCATGAAGGCTGAACGCCTGCAAAGAACTGCAGTTGTGTTGGCAAGAGCGCCCCTGCCCCTCAAAAACCCAAGAAAGGATGGAGTGGGAGACGGCTGTAGGGCTGCAGCAGCCCCTCCCCCCCCCAAGTGCACCAAAGGGAACAGCCTGACCACAGCGCTGGGAGAACGGTCCTCTATATGCCACCGGGCCCCACAGCTCTTTCCTTCCCTCTTCCCTGTCGTCTCTCCATCCACGGCCACTGTATAAGGTGTGTGCGTGTTTGGCCTGGATCACGTGAAGGACCAGAGAGAGAGAGAGTTAGGACACAAAGATGGAGACCAACAGAACCAGAGGAATTATGGGACTTTGCATTTCTGCCTATAAGCCCTCCTTGTGAGAAATTCAACTCTTGGACTGAACATTTTGGACTATGCTTTCAGCAAGTTGACAAAAAACGTCTGCTGCTAATTGAGGGAGTGGAGCAAACTCGGGGGTTTGCAAAACTCTGGTAGGAAACAGGTGGGCAGGACTTCAGGAAGACCCTGGTACGAGGATCCTCCCGAGCAAGCAGATGCCACACTTGTCCACTAAGCGAGGGAAGACCCATTAAGCATTCCATACTTCATAGTAAGTGAGATAAGGCCCACATATATCTAGGGGGAAACAAAGATGTGCAGGCCCAGCTGGCAACCTGCCTGAAAGAATATAAAAAGAGGGGTCTCAGCAACCATAATTTGTCTGCTGAGACCAAAAGGCTTTTGGAACCAACTACTTTTTTTGGAACTTGGACAATGCAAATAAAAAATTCTTCTCTCTTTGGTGAGTATGTATGTGGTGTGAATGTGCTGAATGCATGAAACCCCTTTATTTAGAATTGTGATGTGTCTTGTGAGGTCCTTTGTTGTTTAATATAGTTCCTCTTGGGATACAAAGATCTCGTGGTCACCCTTTTGTGGCAACTGAGCCTGGCCGGACCGGGCGTGTTGCCAAGGCTGCCAGCCCTCAGACCCTTCCCTGCAAGGGCTTCTCTGGGCGTGGACTGGAGCTGGTGCTTCTTTGTGTGCGCGTGCGTGCATGCATGCGTGCACACATGCACAGGGCTCTCTGCTCATGAGCTCGGATTCTTGCTGCCGGAATCCTGCTCGGAGTCCCGCTGGGCCCCTCCGGCCGCCACGGCAGCAGCCAGTTCGTCCCGATGCTCGAAGGCAGCTCCGGCAAACTGGGCGAAGACGCGGTCCATGTAGCTCTGGTGGCGAGGGAGCAGGCCCTCCAGGAAGCCGATGTGGCCCCCTCGTGCCGTCACCAGGAGCGCCAGGCCGGGCACCCGTTTTGCTGCCTCCAGGGGAATGGCTGTAAGAAGAAAGCCCGGCCAGGGTGCATCAGAGCAGGCTCTCCGGAGCGTGCCTCCTCCTGACGCCTGGGGGAGAGAAGGGGGCGCTGGACTCACCATGCTGAGGGGAAAAGGGGTCATCAGAGGCATTGAGGCACAGCACGGGCACACGGATCCGGTCCACCTTCCAGCAGGGACTGGTTTTCCGGTAATACTCCTCGCAGGAGGTATAGCCGAAGGCCACAGCTGTGAAGCGCTCATCGAACTCCCGGATGCTGCGGGCCTGGGGGGCGGGGCAGGGGGACAGGGGTGTCAGGAACCCCAAGGGCCATGACCTCTGGCCACCGGCCACTACAGGAGACAGAACTCAAGCGTCAAAGAGGGGGGGTGCGTGTAGGGGGGGGAAGAGAAGATTCTGAGTTTGAGGCGGTACCTTCAGCACATGCTCCACATCCAGCTTTTCCGCAAGGACCTTCTTGTGTCTGGAAAAACAGGACGCAAAGTCAGCAAGCAGAAGGCCGAGGGGAGGAGGGGGAGGAAGGGGAGAGCCTGGCATGTGCCCTTCCAGGCCCCTACCTCCGAACGAGTTGGCGCAGGTTGGCGGTGAGGCGCTGGTTGAAGAGGACCCGGTTGAGCGGACTCTCCAGCGAAGAGATGGCCTCAGAGGAGTCCCAGGAAACGGAGCAGGCCATCGCAGCCGCCAGGCCAGCCTCGGGCCCCTTCTGACTCAGGTAGTTGAGTACCAGGATCCTGCCAAGAGGAAAGGAGGACACCGCCCCTGATGGGCACAAGCAGGCGCACCCTCCCCGTCCGACCAGTGCCAGGGTCCTGGGGGGGGGGGCTGCTCACCCCTCCATCCCGAGGAATCAAGGCTGTTTCAAAACAGCCACTCCCTGAGAGTGGAAAGAGCGGAACCCGCCCCCCCCAACCTTGGCAACCAAAGAGGGTGGCCCTACTCGTCACACTTTGTGGCACCTGCCACATTCACCTCCCTCTCAGCAAGCGCTGGGCAGCCGGAGGGGGGAGAGGGAGGAAAGGCACCCAGCCTCCTCTCAGAAATGCACGCTCAGGAGTCGAAAGCGGGTTCCCTCTGAGGGCGGGAGAGGTTTTCCCATCAGGAAACAGTGAGTGTCTGAGGAGCGGCCAGAGGGCGGCAGTGCTGGGAGGAGGCCTCTGTCTCTTGTGGGCGTCCACTCCGCCTGGCTGGATGTTCAGGAAGAGCCAGTGGGCACGGCTGAGTCGCCCACGAAGGGCAGACACGTTGAGCAGGTGAGTGGCCACCCAGCCTGCTTTTCAGCCCAGCCGCCAGCTGGCCGCCTGCCCGCCCACCTGCATTCCTGCTCCCCAAAGATTCCTTCCTGGAAAAGCCCAAAGCGGGTCCCGCCGGGTCCTGCCGAGTCAAGTAGGAATGAAGCCCTCTGGGGTCCCAAGGGCAAAAACGCCCTGGCATGTGAGCCCAGTCGGGGGGGGGGAGCAGGAGGTGTAAGTGCCAGGGGCCAGCCTGCCCACCCACGTATACGCTGAACTGGTACGTTTCTGGTCCAAGCCCATGTGAGGCTGGTGAACCCCTTTGCCCTGAGGGACAGAAATGAAGACGCCCCCACGTCCACCCCCTGCAGGAGGGCTGCACAGCCCCCCCACATCTTCCATCGAAGGTGCTTCCTGGGGAAGAGAGAGAGGCATGCAGGCGGCCACTGCGCACAGCCGAGCGCAGGCTGAGGACCGCCCTTCCCCCGGGCAACCCCAAGCATCCTCACGCAGCCCTTCCGAGCCCCAGCCGGAGCCTCACCCGCCCAGGGAAACACCGACGGCCATCAGGGGCGCTCGGGGGAACTCCCTCCGGATGTGGCCCACCACCAACTCCAGGTCTTCGGTGCTGTCTGCGCAGAAAGCCTGGGGAGTCTGCAGAGGGAGGAAGCGGGAGAGAAGGGTCAGTGTGGGCGACCAGAAGCCATGGTGGGAGGAGAAGCTGCCAAAGAGGTTGGTCTCTGGGGTGGGTGTGTTGCCCATGGCGGGCATCAGGGCCGCCTTCCTCCAAATGCCCCTCCCAGTCCATGTCCCCACCACCACCACCACGACAGACTCGGTCTCTGGCAAAGCTGCCCACTGCAGGCAGGAAGGGGACGCCCAACCCCGGCTCCTTACCAGCAGTTCCTCCCCTTTGCATCCTCGGTTGTTGAACACGACAGCCCTGCAAGGGAGAACGGCGGGTACGTTTGCACGAGGAGCTGCTGCCCTCGGGTAATCGCACTTTCCATCTCTCCTTCCTTAGGTAACACACGGGCCCCACACCAGCAGGACCCCCCTTCCCATGTTGCCACCAGGGGCCAGGCCTGGCGGCAAAACAGGGCCAAGATGGTGCCCTCGACGGCTCCCACACCAGGGCCCAGCCTGCGCTCTGTGGAGGGTGCCCAGTCCTGCCCCCTGGTGCAAAGTGTCCCCCCCTCCAGCCTCCACCACCCACTGCTTCTCACCTGTAGCCCTGGTGCCGGGTGCTCTGCACCATGTGCAGGATGTAGGCCTCTTGGCTGTTCCCAGTCAGGCCTGGCAGGAAGAGGACAATGGGGCAGGCCTCTGGGGCAGGGTGGTGGGGGCCGCCCCGCTCCTCCTCAGCCCAGTCGAGCAACAGCTGCCCCCCATCAGGGGTCCGAAGAACCTCACTAGACGGGAAACCGGAAGAAGGAGGGGAAAGAGTTGCAGGGCTGAGCAGGGAGGGAGGAGCGAGATCAGGACGTTCCCCCCCCCTCCCCAAGGGGAAAGCCCTCCAGCTGGGCAGCCCTAGGGAGGCTGCCCCATAACAATCTGCCCCATTCCCCCTCCCCACACACACACAAACTCCTTCTGCCCTGCTCTGGACGCACCTGTGGTAGGAAACAGGGGGGCAGGACTTCAGGAAGGCCTGGACGATGGTCTGGAGCCGGCCCTCAAAGCACCACGGGGTGGGGTAGAAGGTCTCGCTCACGATGGGGCAATACTTCTCCAGGAAGGAGCGGAAGGGCTCGCAGGCCACCAGCAGAGGGCGCTGCAGGGAGAGGGAGAAGGGGACTCACCCACCGGGAGGCATGGAGGGACCCCCCCCCCCCGGGGCAGAGAGCGGCTGGGAAGGTTCTGAGGGTCACCTGTGGCGAGGAGGGATTGCCTAGAGGCGACCAGACAGGCGGGGGATTGGCAACTGGGAGGAACCCTTGAAGCCAGGAGAAAGAAATGTACCACCCCGGTCACAGATGGCCTGTGGGGGACGGTCAGGGAGGTGAGGAGGCCAGTGGCCCCTTAGCTTGGGGGCTTGCTTGGAAGGCGTCTTGATCTCCTGCCATGACTAGTAGTTGCTGGGGGACGAGGGGAGGGGAGGGGGCAGTCAAGAAGCTGGACCGGGACCCTGACCTGGGGACCCCTACAAAGAGCAGAGATTTCACACAACGACGAGTTTCTCCAAGCCCATCATCTCTCCGTCCAGACAAGTTTCCTAAAGGGGCCCCTTAA